TTTCAATTCTCTATGGACAATGCACATGCTTAAAGCCAACACCTGGGTGCTCAGACCTGACCGTGGCCCACCGGGGCTGGCAGATACTCATTACATTTAGTACATTTTCTGCTCTTTGTAGGGGATAAAAAAAGGCAACTGAGAAATGAAATGAATCCCAGACATGTCAACGCTACTGAGAGCAGAGAGGCCTGATGGGAAACTCAGGTCCTCCAATAGGTAAGTCACCCATGTTTCCTGGCTAAGAGCCAGAAGTCCTCTTCCAGACGCGATGGGGAAGAGCTCCTTTGCTTTGCAAATCTACATTCTCCTGCCAAAGGAATAAGCCCTTCTCCGATGACCTCTCACCCATCAAAAAGCCATTCAGTGAAAGAGCAGAGAACAGCAACATGGTGTCTATGGATCCTGAGAACTTGGACTCCCAGGAGAACTGCCCAGTGGATTTTCAAACTTTTAACATATGAAGTGGTGAAGATTTGGGGTCAAATCACAGAAAAGACAGTAACCATTTATAAGAGTACTGCCGGTGCCTACAATTTTCAAGCTAGTGCCTCTTGAGTGCGAAGCATGATATGTTTCTGATTAGCTTCATCATGGGTAACAAGTCCTTGTTTTCACTCTAACAAACCATAGGACACCGTGAGCTTACAAGGTATGGAAAAGAGTGGATTTCTTTTCAGATGAGATGTTTAAAGCAGTTATTAATAATGCTGTGTATAACAGCTGCCTTTATTTATTCATAAATACAGCACAAACATCTTACTTGTCAAAAGGAGAGGATTTTCTTTTACTATAAAAAGATAATTAATTCAAGCTGGATAAACTTAATGGTGCATTTGCCATCTGGGCAAAGCAAACAGAACACCAGAATAGAATTGTGTGAAGAAAAAATAATCAAAGTATGAAATAAAAATACAAGCTTAAACTCTGTTTTGACTTCTTTAACAGCAACTATGTTTCCACCCTAAATAGTAGGTGCATGCTAATTTGAAGGGAAATGTAAAAGGCAGCAGGGCATAGAGAAATACACAGCTGAATGTGAATAAATACTCAGGTGATTTCTTTCTGTTTTGTTTATTTACACAGCAGTAACAAAACCAAAAGGTTTGCTGGCCTCTGCTATATCCAGGAGAGACAGGAACTCCTAACAAATAAGAGTTGAAAGTGTTTTGTGAAAAACCTTGAGCATATAGTAAATGATAATTGTGTTCATCATCCTGATTCGTTAATCGAGAGAACTCAGGCATTCTGGAGGCTTTGACATTAACAAATCAGTTCAGGAAACTGAACTTTGTTGATGGTCATGATCTTGAAAACCCTGAAAATGATGGCACTTGCATTGTGGGAACATCACGAAAGAGAATTCTAGTCTCCCTTTCAGACTCTGAGCCATTGCTTATTCAGAAATGCTGCTTCTTTCTTGTTTTCTCTCTAAACACAGCAGACAAGCGATTCTAGCTGCTAAGCTGTGTGCAGGCTGACTCCAGGAGTTCGCAATCATCACGTACATGGGGTTGTGACCTTGGGGCGTTCTCTTGCTCAATCACTCACCACTACATTGCTTCTTCCCAGTTCCCCTTTTTAACGACACCATGTCACCATTCAGCAGAAGCCTGGCATCTTCCTCTACCTATTTCTCACAATGGAAAGGACTGATGCCCTTACAGAAACCAGTTCTCCTTTAAAGGTGATTTAGAAAGTTCTTCTTTCAAGATGCCTCTCTGTGTGAGGATTTTGACTTCAGATCAATTCTGACTATCTTCAGAACCTACCACTAGACTTACATGTTACACTTTCATGACCTTGACTCTCCGTTCAGATGTCCTGCAAACTGGTTTGGTTTTGAGTGAGCAAATGAACACTTGCTGAAGTTGATCTCCAATAAGAGTAGTGAGGAATCCCTCAAGTGATGTAATAATGGGGCCCATGTAAGATGATGCTATTAAAAGTGACTTTATTACCCTGGAATTTTGTGGTAAGGGGATTTTTGACTAAAATTTTTCACTAGACAGTAAATACAGTGCCTCTGATCTTAATATATGTCAGAATGAATCTCTTTCTTTCAGTGTAACACAGAATCCTAACAGAATCTAGAGACCAGTTGATACCAGCCTTCCTGGTTTCTTTTAGCGCTTCTCTGATCCCAGCCACTCACCCCTCCCTTCTACTCTGTGAACGAGCTATGAGCCTTCTGACTACAGGCTTTGACAGGCTGCTTCTTCAATCAATTCTCTTCACTCTTTCCCAGATTATTCTTAATTATAATTCATAGCTGCGCTCAGACATCATTATCTCAAAAACCTCTCTCTGATATCTTGAATGAACCTGCCTCTTTCTCTGTGCTCTCCTGGTGTCCTTTGTAGAAGTGATAATAACTGCATAAGCACTCAAGTGATTAATTGGAGAACAGGACTTTCCTGCTAGAAAGTAAACTCTATGAGGACTGATACTACGTCTGTCTCATTCACAGCCATCACCACAGCCCCTGGCATAGTGTCCACACACAAGTTTCAACAGACTTGTTCACAGAGTTACCGAGGAAGTGAATTCCTTGATTAATGACATTGCTGAAGACAAACCACCTGTAAGATGGCACTGGATCCTCTGATGATATGCTAAAAGTGTTGGCTAAGTCTGTAAAAAGCGAATGTACAATTTTCAGTTCTGTTTGTGTAGCAATTTCCTCTCCTATTCCTTTAATATACTGGAGTATTGAAGACATGAAATACGGAACAAATCATGCCATTTATTCATTTTTTTCCTGTGTTGCATGAGCTACATTTTATCACTGGAGAACTTATCGATGAAGCTCGAGTTTAGCTTGTATAATAAATTCCTCAGTGAAGACAAAATTTAGTCATCGGATGCATTCAGAAACATTGAACCAAATCTCTATGGAAATGGGCTTTCCTCTGGGCAAAATATTTATATATGACGTGCATATGTTAGCTGTGACTCACATATGAATGCAGAAGATTTACACTCAGCCTGCTGGGACGTGATAAGGGAACAAAAATGCACTCACTCCTATTTCCATGTGTGGGGAAGAGGTCAGTCATTCTGCTTGATTTTCATATTGTATATGTCAGTTGGACCCGAGGAGCTATTGAGTCTGATAGACAAAAACAAAAACATGTCAGAATTTATAAGACCCTCTCACAACAATAGTAGTGAGACAAAATAATTCCATTGCTTCTCTGTTCTAGGATAAAGAAAGTCTATACATCTTGACTTGTGATTAGGTTTTAGAAGTCTCTGGGCTCACAAATTCTATTTTGGTTCTGTTTGCATTTCCATTTCCTCTACTTTTGTCCTTTTTGCTCATGAATAGGGAAAGGGTAGAAACAATGCACTCTTGTGTATCTACGTATTTACCTGAAAGTAAGAAAAGGATGACTTCATCTGTGTGACTCTGGACTTCATCTTGGTTTTAATGAGACTTGCCTTTATAATTTGAGGTCCTACATCCCTGGGTTCTTTAGTATAATAACATATGACAATACTTTCCACAGTTAGGGCACTGGTGAGATGCAGACAAGGTACTCTAGATACTATTAGTGGACGATATGCTGGTTAATTAGTGAAAATCATTCCAGAAGGGTAGATTTTGAAACACAAATGAGAGGCTGATTTTTGTTGAAGATACTAGGTGTGAACAGTAAAATTTTGATTCTATTCAAAAATTTTACATTGTTCCTTAAGACAGCTGAAAGGACTTAGGAAGCTGTAGATCTGTACCTTGACTTTCTGAAAGGCAACTCAAGTGACTCCTATCAAGTAACAAATGTGGAAAGAATTCCAAGCTTGAGCATCAGAAAATGTCAATTTTTAAATCCAGTTCTTTGCTTACCTGACTGGAATGGGTTATTGGACACTACAAATATTTTGAATGTGACTTCCCTTCCCTCACTCCACTCTATGGAAGGGGACGAAGTTGTCTAACAATTCAATTAGAAACTCACAGCTTAAGTGGGATTATTTTCTCTAAGATAGGGAAGAAAATGAAAATAAAACATTAAAAAAAGAAAAAAAAGGCTTTCACCCTGGAGACAATTAAAAGCAAAAACACACCCCCATCCCAACCTCTAAACTTGACATTGTGGCCATAAAATTCCATCTTTCTGGACATAGACAAGGTGACAAATACAGCCAACAGATGACTGACTTATGGACAGTGACATGAGATACAGGTTTCTCCAAAACCATCTTGTAAGAAACTTCCAAGCAAATGCTGGTAAGAGCAATGAGATACTTGAGCACGGATGTGGCACTGGGAGATACAAGAATGTTTCCATTGAGACATCGCGTGTCCTGAGAAATGGGAGAGAAACTCAATGCTTAGCAGTTCATTGCCTACCCTATAGTTTTCCAGTAAAGACCACCAGGAGTGAACTTGCAAAAGAAATTTATAGAGACAAAAGACCTCATTTTAATCAATCCCTTTAAAACGCTTGCGAGTCACAGATGGTACATCACAGACATGAACACACACAAACACATACACACACATGATGTTCTATCAGACAAGGTCCTAATGAATTGCAAGTTAGTATTCTACAACCCAGCCAACAAGGAAGTGAAAATAACAGACCTGCACTTGAGAAATTATGAAATATAAACAGCATTGTAACAGTATTCTAAACAGAATTCTCCCTATCACTGAGGCTTTATTAGTGCCACCAGCGCCTGAGATGAGCAGAGGCTTGTTACCAGGCAGGGCTCGCTGTTTCGCTCCTCCACATCAAGTGCTTTAGTGCTTTTCTCTCAGTGACTCAGCTGGACAGTCAAGTGCAGGGTCACACTTACTTCCTCCAGGAGCCCTGGCAGTGAAGCTGTGTGGTGCGCTCCACCTGGCTGGGGCCCACTGGTCTACCTGCAGCAATCCGAGCCTGCCAGGGTCCACTGGCTCGCCTCTTTCCTTTGCACAAAGATCCCTTATTTTCTCACTAGAGGCAAAGAATCAGTGCATTTTCAAAGGACAAAATACGGACACCATTTTATTTAACATCGAATAGTATACAAATATGTACAATTTCAATAATAAATTAGAGACAAATAACTCTGTAGACAGTTCATAGACGTCAGACAACACTTTGCAGCCTTCATTTCTAAGAGTTCAGCCGACCCAAGATGCCCACCTTCTCCTTGCTGGACAAACATGTTCGGGCAGCGTGGTGAAATGCGCAGTGTTGGGGGGGTGGGGGAGGGGTGTGCTTCCAAGCAGCAGGAAGTTGTTTGTTAATAAAAGAAACACTGAAGAGGGTCGATGGCAATCAGGATGAATTGTAGAACATCTGCACGATATGGGTAAAGCTCTGCAAAAATTCTGTAATATTTTTCTCCTCCAGTTCCTCGCATTCTTTGCATCCAGATTCTGCTATATTCTGTCCCAAAAAAAAGAAAAGGATGAGATTGGGAAGTCCAACACATCTCTCTCATGGAAAGAGCACCTCCAGGAACCCTGTGTGAGAGCCTGAGATGTGGACCCTTCGGCAAATTAATGTACTCGGGAGAATGTGGACAAAGAGAACAGGGAGTTTGGCTGTGGGTTTATTTTTCTTTGAACAAATCTAGGACTTGGTATAAGCCGGCAGAACAAAGCAGAGGCCTCTGCTCAGCGCCCGCCTGCGCGCTCTCGCCAGCCGCCCTCCCACGCACAGGGCCCCTTGCTGTTCCTCACTGACCTCCCCACTGCCTCAGCCGTCACGCGCCGAGCTCAGTCCTTCCGCTCATGTACCCCTGGGAAGGTTTCCCCTCACGTGTGAGGCGCCCCCCAACCCTGCCGTGGCTGTTCCGCCCCTGTCCGCATGTCCTAGTTTACCCCTGCTTCCTCACACCCCAGGGGACATGGTGCTCCAGGCGGCCCCGGCCTGGACTCACCACCCCTCTCTGTGTCCTCAGAAGCCCCGTCTAGATGCCCGCTCCTGTCCGTGACGGGTGACACTGCCATTATGAAGTTCTGTCCTTGCTACACCACTCACGTTTCTGCTTCCCCACATGTGCCAGAGGTCAGGCACCCCAGCCTCAACCCGACATGGCTGGAGGAGCTACCCCCTTTGGGTGAACAGACATGGCTGTAACATTTGCTTTGGGCTGTGTCTGCAGCGTCCATCTTTTTGGTGGGTAGAGAACAGATTCTGAGTGATACGGCTGGGGTGTGCTGTGGCTCCCCATTTTACCAGATGCCAGGATTGGAAGAAGTGAACCAATCACAGTGCCTCCATCCGTTTAACCTTTGGATACCAGATCAATATCTGACAAAAGCTTGTGGGCATTCACAGAGTTGTTTAAATCTCAAAGGCCAAAGTCTGGAACACTAATAATCCATCTTTAATGAGGAGAGAGTTTCTACATCGGACGTGGTAGGAAACCAGGTCAGTGGGGCTTATGAGCTCCGCAAACACACTGGTTTGCACCATCTCTGCAGACTGGTGGCACAGAGCGGCCAGTGTTTGTTGAGTGAATACATGAACGTCAGAGTGGGGCTGGGTGCACGCAGGGATGGTGCCCTCAGGGTGCCCCTTCCCTGACTGAATTACTCCCGAGTATCCCTTCGGTATCCAGCTAAAGATGCCCCCAGTCAAGTGTCAGCTAGGCATAGCTCTGTGAGCTACTAGAAAACTCACCCCATCAGAAGATAAGCTGCTGTTTGCCAGGATGATCAGGTTTTCCACGGTTTTTTTAATGTTCTTATTGTCAGACTCATGTGAAATAACATGGAACTCCAAGAGGAAGCATTTCATTGCTGTGACTTTACAATCAGACTAAAGAGAGAATTGCAAAAAAGCACTGTGAAAAAACATTATTTTCTCGGCATTCACTTGTATAGATGTATTTTGATCTTTTAAAAATTGAAATAAGTCAGAAGCAGTAAGACACATACTGATGTTTCACTCATGCAGAACTGAGAAAAATAAACAAAGGAATGAGCAAAACCGAGCCAAAACAAACCCAGAAACTGTAGGACTGAGCTCCCAAGGAGAGGGGACAGGGGGAAAAGGCCTGCAGAGAGGACAGTGGCGCCTTGGAGGCAGGTGCGGTGACAGGCACCTGCAGGGCGTGTTCCTACACCTCTGAGCCACCTACAGCCAATGTTACTGCCATTCGGGAAAAAAGACCAAAATAATAGATGACTAAAAAGTCAATCCAAGGACATGGTAAAGAAATACAGTGCCCCGAGGAAATTTCACAGAGGATGCAACTTGATTTTATTTTCTCGTTCATTTCTGAAATTAAAACCAGGACACACTGACGATAATACAGCCAAGGAGGACAGTAGCAGGTTCAAAAGCGAGAGGAGACTGGGCCGCGCACCCCAGAGCGTCGCCTGTGTGAGGGGCGAACAGGCCGGCCGGTCAGCCAGCTCAGAGGTGGCTCCGTCAGGGCTTAAAGCCAAAGTCCCACCTCAGCCGCCCTCCACCGCCCGTGTACAGAAGGTAGCTTCCCGCGGAAAAGCATCTCAGGATGCAAGTGCAGGTGGTTAATTGACTGCTCTCTTCTTCAAAAAAGTGCAAGAAAAATGGGGCCCATGTCCGAGGCAAAGGAGAGAGACAATTTCTCTGTGCTGCAGTGCTCTCCCTGGCATTGGCGATATCTGTCCCTTTTAGTCCCTGAGGATGGCTTCTTTCTGATTCCCAGAAACTCGAGTTGGGCAAAGTCTTCTATTTCAGAGAACTTCTTAGGAAAGATAGAGAGAGGCTGATTGTGCTGAACACATACGACACACGTCAAGTTTGCTCTCCTCGAGGTGAAGGAGTCGGTATTTGTTTCTTGGTTTTTCGAAACTAATCCAGGCAGAACGGATTAGCGACAGCACTGAAATTATGCCTGCCTGAGGCACTGTCTTGTATTAATGAAACAAGTACAAGGTCACTTTTGAATTCTGGTAGATTTGGGGGTTGTGTTTGTTTCTTCCCACACAGAGAGTGACTAGCCAGAATCTTTTGTTGATAATTGTGGAGATTGGTACAAAATGCAGGGCATGAATACATTTAGCTGTTTCTAGGAAGTACCATGGACACAGTGGCCTACTACAGTACTGGAAATAACTGATATGCAACTTTCTAAATTGAATCAGGTAACCTGGTTCATGCATTTAATTGCATCACGGGTCTAACTGCATCACAAAAATGTATAATATGTCTTATTGACACTGATGGAAAAGGCTTTTTTTTTTTTTTTTGAATTTTCGTTTGGCACCATTACCAACAGAATATCCGCCCAGCTCTTTGTTGCCAAGTCCCTTGGCCTCAACAGTTATTTATAAAATTCACTGACCATATGTTCCAAGAACAATCCAAAAGTTAAACACTATGAATTTCAGTCAGTTCATGAAAACATACTTCTCAAAAACTTTTTGAAAATGAAAATATAACAATTTGAACAAACTATACTCACATGAACATTACTTTCAGTATACAAAGTGGCATCGATGTGTATAGTCTGAAAGGAAACAAAATTAGATAATAAGAAAAGTAATTTCATATTTTACATCATAATGAAAACAGCCTGCTGGAAACATTAGATTAAGCTTCTGAAATCACACACTTTATATTGAGGTCACTGCGGATTCGTGCGCAACTGTAAGACAAAATACAGATGTTCCGATGTCCCACACCTGGCGTCCCAGTAGGACCGACTGCCATGAGCACAGTCCGATGTCACAAGGAAATGACATTGGAACAACCCATCTGCCTTGTTCAAATTTCACATTTTTATGGGCACTGTTGTGAGTATGTGCACAGTTCCAAGTAACTTATCAGGTGATAGCTACAGGTGACCACCACTGCACTTGGGTGATGGAGCCGTCACCCTATGGATCTTCCTGCCAGTTTTACAGCTGGACCCACCCTTCTCCCCATCTTTCTAGGCCCCGGCAGCCATTCCTATGATGCTGTCATTTCAAGAACGCTATATGTGTATGTGTGCATGTGTATGTACATACACACACACATATATACATATGTTATATACATATTTATATATAACATATATATATATATATAGTCAAATTGTATGTAACATTTTGAGATTGGCTTTTTGGAAAAATTAACAGAAATCAGAAATTTCTGTTTATTTATTTTTGAGAACATGGACAGAAAGTAGAGTTCCCAGATAAATAATATGGGAAACTTTCTAGTTTCCCATATTATTAATATCTCACATGAGTGTCATGCATCTATTACAACTGATGAGTCAAATGGAAACGTTTAACCGAAGTCCATAGCTTTCCTAGGGTTCACTCCTTTATTCATTCCATGCATTTTATAATGGATGTGTCCATCATTACAGTATCCTACAGAATAACTTCACTGACATAAAAATTGTCCATGTTCACCTATGGACCCCTCTCTCTCCCTAACCCTTGGTAGCTACTAATCTTCATACTGTCTCCATAGTTTTGCCTTTTCCAGAATATACTTGGATCATACAGTATGTTTTTTTTTTTTTTTTTAGATTGGCTTCTTTCACTTAACAATATGCTTTTAAGTTCCTTCCATATCTTTTCAAGGGAAGACAGTATCCCCTGCATGGAGCTACCCCCATGTTTGCTGACCCAGACTGGCTTTCATCCCACACATCATAATACTCTGCCAGCCCCATCTAACTTGGATCAGTTGTTTATCTTTTTTTTTTTTTTAAGATTTATTTATTTGTGCATACAGAACTGGGTTACAGGCCAGAGGCTCAGGGGCGGTGAGAGGCTTCACCAGAGACAGAGTGGGGAACAGAACAGGCAGATCGACCAAGTCCACTGCTGAGGGGAGCAGCGGGTGGGTCAGGAGAGGTCTGCCGCACCATGTGGTCACCTCCGGGGCAGGCGGGAATCGAACTCATGCGGAAGTGGCTCCAGATTCTCAGTGTTGTGCTTCAACCCGCTGCGCCACCAGGGAGGACCCAGTTGTTTATCATTTTTAAGATTTATTTTTTATTTACTTATGCATACAAGAACTGGTGTGTAGGCCAGAGATGCGAGAGTGGTGGTGAAAGGCTTCACCAGAGACAAAGTGGGGAGCAGAACAGGTGGATCCACTGAAATACACTGCTGAGGAGAGCAGTGGGGAGACAGGAGAGGTCTGTTGTGCCCTGTGGGTCAGCTCCCTGGCTGGGGATCAAACTCCTGATGCAATAACTGGCAATAGCTTGAGAGTGCTGAGACTTAACCCTTTGCACCACCAGGGAGGCCCTGCTTATCCCTGGTTATTGTTCAGTCTTCCGTGCTGTAATGTACCTTAGCTTACTGTTGACCGGTTAAAGGATATTTGAGTTGATTCCAGTCTTTAGCTATAATTCAATCAAGTTTCTGAACACTCTTATGTATATTTTTGTGTGAAAATGAGTTTTCATTTCTGCGATTTACATGTTCAAGAGTGTAACTGCTGAATCAACAGCAAAAGTATGTTCTGTCTTATAAACTACTGCTGCACTATTTTAGACTGACAGTACACTTACACTCTCACAGCAACACATGTGTAACACGGTCTCACCACTTTCTTGGCAGTTTAGTATTTTGGCTACATTAGGAGACCCTATTCTTGTTTAAATATTCTACTCCAACATGCAGCCACCCTGCTGAGCTCTAGGATATGGGTTTTGGTCTATGTATACCTGCTGTGATTCCAATGATTATTTAGTTTTCAGAATCAATGTGGTGCTCACCTGGAAGATTTCATTCACGCTTGCCCCTGGGGCCCCCAACAATTCCCATAATGTTACCCAATGTGGCCAGAAGGTAATTCCCTGCCCATAGATGTCTGGGGGGCCCCTTTCTCTCCCCCATCCAGGTATCTCTAGTGAGGAGAGAGATTTTCTATTCACAGGGCACCAAGCCCTCCCTCAGTCAGGCTACACCCCTGCCAGTGCCATGAAGTCACCTGTCCCTATGGTGGGGGAAGGGCACTTTCGGCCTGTGAGAACAAGAGAGACCACTTCATACTGGGCCACTTGTAAACTTAAGTTTTAAAGAGAATAAGGATCTGACCATTGTATGGGAAAGACTTCCTGTGAGACTTCACCAGGCTGACACAGTTCTAAAAAATATATTACTGTTTAAGTAAGAGTACATTAAGGCCAAAAATAAAATAAAATAAAATAAACAGGGAGGGGCGTACTCCAAAGCAATTATACCAAGACTTGTATAGAAAAATGAGTACTCACTTGAATAAGATTTTTAATTACTTTCAAATCGTCCATTACAAAGTGCCAGTTGGCCTCTGTTTTAGGAAGTCCGGCACTGATACAGCTGAAAGCAAAAGCAAAGAGGAAAGCCTTGAGAACGAGTGTAACATTGTCCTGGTGCAGGAAAAGGGCTGTCGAGACTCGTTTATTCTGACTGGTGGGAAGGTGACTTTTCACCTTGCTTGGTGCATCCAACATCTCACCCCCAACACAATAGTGAACATAAAGTCCACCTCGTGAAACTTCAGCCTCACTTGAGGGTGGACCAGCTTAGATCAGAGCCATGCTGGATTTGGAGGGAAACTTGCAGTTTCCAGGAGCAATTAATCACGACAGAATCAAACCAGGGCACTCTGGCTGCACTCAACAAATGCTTGTCTGGGATTAAGCAGTTTTCTGGAAGTAGAGCTTCCTGCACATTTTTTCAGTCTAATAATTAGCTAAAATCTTCTAAGAAAGCAACAATTATTTTCATCTCATGACCTTGACAGTGAAGGTTCTCCACAGCCGGGTGGGCATGCCCTCACCTGCTGCTTAGGTGACTGCGATGTCTACAGCGATTGTTTTCATAAACACAAAGACTTAAGTCTCATGCAGGTGGGCTATAACATTCTATTCATTTTGGAAAGGTAGCCTTTTCCCATCAGAACAAAAGCGCATTCTGACATGGTCCTTAAGAGCTTCAGGAAGAGCAAAGACCCGGATGGGCCTTCACAGCAACCTGAGAGCGAACCCTCACCGTTCTTGTGAGGAAGGTTCACCTGCGCACACCTATGGCTCCCGCGCCATGAAGGCTGAGCAGCAGGACTGAGTGACAGGTGGCGATTCTAGAGGCCGGTGCTCTGGGGCAGCTTCAGGCCATGTGCCAGCTGTGGGGCCACAGGGAAAAGAGCCAGTGGGCACGCACAGGTGTCCATTGGGAAGACAACAACAGGCTGACTACAGAAAGACATGTTTTAAACTGAACTAGGATACAGATCAAAGCATAGAAGAAATCAGTATCAGGGACAGATGAAAAAGTAACATCTGTGAGTCCTAAGTAGCTTTTTTACTGCTGTGAAAAGTGTGCAGGCTATTAATAAATAGATATAAAATAAATAAGAAGTAAGTTGATGGTGTGTGTATCTCCAAGTTAGATCTTAAATACCAAGAGTCCCAGTTTGTTTGGGGGACCCAGCACTCACTTCAAGACCAGCCAGAGAGAGGATCACCCCGCAGGTATTTACTGACCCTCCTGTGAGTCTCCCCTCCTGACCTCACACCCCGGATCCTGAGCACTGAGGATGTGCATGAGCTGAACGCACGCAGCTGGATGGGGAAGAGACTGAGGACGGGGGCTGGCCCCCTGGGGAGCCGCTGGGAGCCTCTGGGAAGCCCACATGCCTGCCCCAAGGTGCAGTCACCTGAATATGAAGACATGAATGCCGGCCTCAGCTAGAAAGTGACTGTTGAGAAGCAAACACAAGCAGCACTGGATGGAAGTACCTCTCAAATATGGTTTCTGCAAAATATAGACAATTTTTTTAAATGAAATTCAAATAACACTTGAGATCAAAAAATGTAACTGTATTACAACTTCAGAATGAATGTTATTATAAGATCCAAGGAGGCTTTTTTGCCTTTCTCACTACCTCCAGCTGTTTCTGACATGCAAAATTATTAATACATGTTTCTCCAGATGATTTCTGTGACAAGAATTTTAAAACAAATTTACATATTTACTAACTTGCCATACATGTAACAGCTTCACTTACATCCTGTTTTCCTGTCTAATAGTTGTACATATTTCTATGCAGCATAGATTAGTAACATGGATTTCTAATGTAAGTGTACTATTTATATTCATTTCATGTAGTAATTCGAAGTTATATGCAGTGTCATTTGAAGAAATAACAAATAGAAAGCGGGACTGCTAATTTACTCGACTCCATCCTGACAGGCTCTAAATCATCACTTTTCTTGGGGATTTAGGAAGCCACTGACCTCAGAACCTCCCAGAGTTTGATTCTGTGCCTGGTTCTCTCATGCCTGAGAGACTATAGAAGCAGAGAGCAGTGAACGCCTGTCTTAAGCACTAAGAATTCCCTTAGTCACTAGAGCGATCAATAAGGCCGAGTTTGTCCTCAAGACTTCACACTTTACTGAGTTCATGGACATTTAAAGGACACGTTAGGGCAAGGTGAGTGAAATAATACATTTACCGCAACAGGAGCTGCTTAGCAGGGTGTTACCAAAGTTTTGCTAAAACTATCTTATTCATTTCTAAATTAAGAACAACCCCTCTGTGAACAGACATCCGCAACATCCACAGGAGAGGAGTGTAGGACTTATATGAAGGGAGAGTCGAGCGCCATTATAAGAAAAGTCATATACTATCTAGCTAATCATCTTCATCTCATTCTCCTTACCGAACTTCTCATTACTCAAGGCCAGCGTCAATCCTTCAGTACGGAAGAAGAGCGGGCTATGGCGATGAGCTCCGAGCAGCCATCCATCCAGAACGCGGTGCGGCCCAGGGGAAGCGAGGCGCCACTGAATCGCCAGGTGGACTGGTGGGGGAGAGAAGGCCGGGGGTTAAAATGTGGGGAGCGCTCACCTCTTCACACACGCTACTAGACACTTACCGTGGGCGCCGAATTCTGTCCCATGGACCTCGAGGGTGGGCTCGGCAGCCCCCGGGGAGCTGTGTGAGGACAGGTGGGAGGGCAGGGCCAGGGGAGAAGCCTAGGGGAGGGTAGAGGCCTGAGGGGGAGGGCCAGGGTAGACGCCTGAGGGGGGAAGGGCCCGGATAGACGCCTGAGGGGGTACTCAGTAGACTGTGGTGGGCGCAGAGCAGGGCACGGGGCAGAGGTAAGGGCCTGTCGTTGGAGTCTGGACATATTTTAAGACAGAACCAAGAGAATTTCCCGACATACTGGATGTGGAGCACAAGAGAGAGGATTGCTCCTTTACCCCAGCAGCTGAGAAATGGTTGCCACTGACACAAGGCAGGCTAAGAAGCAGGGATTTCGAAGGGAGGGGACGTGTGGTTTCAGTTTCTGGTGTGTCCAGTCTTGTTTTCAGGGTGCGATGAACAACTGAGAGGAGCTGGCAAAAAGTGTTGCCTTAGGAGCTGATTAAAGGGCCTCGTGCCTGGTGTAAGAGTGGAGAAAGGGTTTTCCAGGCAGAGGGAAAGTCGCAGGCACAGGCAGAGGCAGGAAGCACCTGCCTGGGCAGGTCAAGGAGGACCCCTCCACTCGACAGGACCACCCCTCAAGTTGGAGGAAGGGAGTGGGGAGTCAGGGAAACTGGGGGGTCGGGAGGCCTCCTGGCTAGCAGGGCTGCTGTGTAGGTGCTGAGCGAACAGCAACAGCGGGAACAAGCCTCCCCTGACCTACAACATGGACTGGTGTGCGGAGAGTGAAGTTAAAGGGAGCAAAGCCGCCTGCCCCGAGAGGCCCAGTGAAACATAAGCCCTGCGCCCAGGAAAGGCCCTGGCTGGGGAAGCCATGGTGCCTGCAGGTAGCTGCTGCTGTGTGCTGTAGGAACAGGGAAGGGTCAGTTAGATTGTTACAGGGCACCCCAGTGTGAACTGGGCTGCCTGTCTGTGGGTCCTGACCCTTCCCTGTGGAGAAGTCAGGAATCTCAGGGCCCCCAGCACCCCTGTTCCTCTTAGGTGGCCCAGCAAGGTAGTACTGCAACAGGAATCAGACACTGACGAGGCCAGGGACGAAAAGAGGGTGCCTTGGCTAGTGGAGGGTTCTACCGTAGCAGCGGTGGCTACATGCAAACACCATTAGGTTCATGGTCTATTTTCTTTGACCTGAAACTCTTATTTTGAATGAGAGTTGTAGCCCAATGATGCCAGTCAGGGCATGAGGAGTGCGAAGCCGTTTCCCCAGGCCCAGGGAAACAGGGTGTCCCTGGGCCAGGGTGACCAAGCTGGCGAAGGCCATCTCTGGGACATGAGGAAGACCAGGGCACCAGCCTTGACGGGGTGCTGTGAAGGGGGGTTCACACAGGTGACGTGGTGGGGGGAGACGGGGGACTGCAGCTGAGCCGTTGTATTTCCTGTTAAGCCCCGTGTTATTTGTTAGCACAGGGTTGGGTCATAATCAGTTGAGGACTAGTAGAACATTTCCCAGCCTCGCAGCCCATATGCCTGGCCAAAGCTTCCATCTGGAGGCTTTCTGTTACTGTCCCTTCCTTTGTGTTTCCTTTTTTAATTTGCCGTATCAAGTACTGAAACGATTGCTATATTTGGACCAGCCTGCTAATGCTGGTCATTTATCAATCCTCTACGAATCCATTCACAGGATGTTTGGGTTAAAGCCTCCTTTTCACTATAAATAAGTACAAACTGAGTGATATTTTCTTTTTCCAGAAAATCAGTACCAACCCCCCTGCAGACTCAAGTGTTGCCTTCAACATCACCTTCTCCCATTCCCAGACCTGAATGTGAGAGTGAACTTGGGACGATGTTTGTAATAGACAGAGGAGAGAACAGTGGCCAGAGTTACTAAGTAAGGGGCTGTCGATTCCTATAGCACAGTTAGGACAGAACCCAGAGGAGATGCCGATTCTGTGCAACTTCTGTTACCATACATCATCTCTCACCTCTTCCAAATGGTCAGGGGACTACTGCTGTTGGGGCGCACACACCTGTCCCCACACCTGCACATGCTGGAGACGACCAGGATGGGTAAACAGGACCGCGGTGACCCCTACTTTTACAGAGCCTGTAGTTTGTAATATGACGACATACATTCTGTATGTGTGGTAGTTGGACAGAGGGAACCACGCTAGTTTAAATAAAATTCTAACTAGTGCTTTGTATTTTAGTAGTTTTAATCAAAAGTGAAACGTGACTAGAGGTTAATTTTATTTTTGAAATTCAATTGTCTGTGTTTTCTGAGGTTACAGCAAACAAAGGAAATTCCGAGTTATCATTAATGAAAGTTTCCCTAGTGTTCATATTTTCTTTTCATGAAAATTAATCTTAATTTCAGAACACGGAGGTCTGTGCAAGGAAAGTGAAGCGGGATAGCGCTGTATGAATCATTTGCATGTGAAGGTCAAAGTTAAACTTGTTAACTCTGAACAAATGTTGAAAAAAAGCCCACAGCCCAGCAAAAACTGTTTCTGAATGGCGAAAAGTACACTAACAGAACAGAGCCTCTCATTAATAACCTTTATGGAGGAGTATTCCCATTCAAATGCTGCGGCTAGTGTTGATGCTTAATCAAAAATGTGAACAGTTGTCTAGAAAAATCTCTTCTCGGCAGATCTTATTTCAACATGAGCTGTAAGTTTGTGAGTTAAATTGAAATCCAGAGTCTGAAAGATGGCAAAGGGAAAGAAAGGCTCTTGCCCTCAGGTTTAACAAAATGCGTCATTTGATGTCTGGGCATTAGCTACAACCTTTGGAGGGAACACGCTGCACTAACAACCCTTAGAAAGCCAATTAATGACTTCAAGCGAGCACCCGAAGAGATCTCGCGGGTTATTATCTGAAGAGAAAAAAGTCACCATCATGGGGTGTAAAGGCCATGCAAAGTAATTGGCTTTGGAAAAAAAAAAGTTTTCTTGATTTTCAGTAAAAATACCAAGAAACATAAAGAATATGGGAATAAAAATGTATTAAAGAATCCTGTGATTTCATTCTGACTCCTTCAAGCATCTGTTATCGTGCTAGAACTGAATATTTACATCAAATAAACTCCATTAGTAGAAAAGAAGATGTGAGAAAATTCTTTTCCCATTTAGAACATTTCAGCGTCGGGCTACCACGGGCCATTAAGGCCCAGTGAGAGAGACTGCCTGAACTGCCACTTACTCTCTTATTTATTTACTTTTAGAGAAACTGTGAAGGCATTATGTGTAGTGTTTAGACTCCCTTTGGATGCTAAGTAACCTGCTTCCAAAGCAAAGGTGTGCTATGCGTTCTGCAGCCCTTCAGAAGAAATTACCCTGCCCCCTCTTTATACTCAGGTTAATTAAACATGCCAATGCCTTACAACAAAGAAGAAGAAAAAATGTTGTGTTTCCCAGGCCATCTCATGTCAGAATTCAGAGCAAGGAGTGAAAGCCAGGCTGGGGGGAGAAGGAAAATATACAGTCACGGCAGGCAATAGTCCCATCAGCCTCTGCTTCACGTAGGTGGTAAAGTCACAGGGAAAATACAGTGTGTGCTGGATGAACTGAGTATCACAGACTTCAGCCAATAAGGATCCGAAGCATCGAAGTATCGTGGCCATGACGTTAGTATGAGTGTAGATCTAGAAGTTTCCATAAGGAAGAACTGGCATTACAGTCTGTTCGTTTCAGTAAATATACCTCCCCGAAATGTTTCTATTCATGTTGATTGACAACTATCTGGCAAGGACACATGTATAAGGAGATATGTCTGGGATAACACAGAGGATCTACTGCACATAAATAATGTACAGTCCTTGACTACACACGTATCCAAGAAGACACACAAAAGGTTTGTGTCCCCGAAGAGAGGAGGCTGGTGGGGAAGGGGAGGGGGTTCATAGGATGAAACTGGTTAAGTTGAAGGGTGCATCCAAAAGATTTATACAGCAAATACAACTCCAAATTGAAAGTAACACTCAGGATCGGAGCTTCTAATAGCACACAGGGAGACAACTCATAAAGATGATCTCCGATTAAATCCTTCGGGATTTTTCTTTATAGTCAAAACATAAAGCCATCTCCACAAAGAAGGCTTTACAACAGAAATTTCCATCAAATATTTGACAGAAACAGAACCATCTGACAAGTCTCAGCTACTTAACACCAAAAACAAAAAATATAAACAGTAAAATAATATTTATCCCGCAGGGTGGTGAACATGAAACACAGGAAGGAGTCGCTCTCTTCTGGACATGGGATTTTACCTCCCACAGTCACGCTCTCCCTCCAGCTATAATAAAACATCGCCATCCAGCTAGAAAATCAACACACTGGCTTCCAAAGCACATGAGCTTGGTAGTTTTCCTAGCAGAATCCTACAGCTTTATGAAGTCACGTACTGACAGAATGGCAGTGTAAAAGGAAAATAAAAGCAAAGAAAAACTGATAAACAGCTGTTTGCTCGCACTAAGGCATCATTGCAACGCTATGGCAGTGGAGATTCTTGCACAGTGCAAGCTCTTCTGGCTCTCTCTACGCTGAGCGACAGCATAAATAGTTCTGTTCTGTTCGGGCTGCTATTTTCCAGACTTCTAGCAGGAAAATCATTCCCTATGTGCACATTGCCCATAACTGCCCCCCTTCCGGGGAGAGATGTGAGAGTGAAGCCCCCATTTCTAATTTAACTGCTCACTTAATTTTCTTTAACTTTTGAAAACAGCACATGGATACTCTGATGTCTCACTGTTGGGCCATGGAATTCGGGGGAAAGGGCATCAGAGGGAAAACTTCAGCTTATTTCACAAAGGAAGACAAAACCAACGTTGTCGAGACGGTGTGTACACACACTGGCCGCAGCTGATACTCTGTGTCTGCGCTTTCAGAGGTTGGTAATTTAGCCCCAGAGAGCAGAAACATTCATGTCTCATTTAAG